GGATTTGGGGTTCAGGGTTTCGGGTTTTTTTTTTTAACGTGTATTGGCAACTTCACAGAAGCACCAGTCCGAGAGGACCTACACAGGTGAAACAAGACATCGGCGAAGTGGATCGGGTAGTCCATCTCGAAGAAACGAGGGCCGCGGTCACACACACCAGCCACGAACCACATTCACAAGTATCTCCACGGGGCAGAGACCAATCCACACCACAACGCACAGTCCATGATGGTCAACGCCAGCATCGAAGTCATCCCTACTCACTGGCAGGCTCATCGTCGGCACAAAGATCTCCCTCCAGTACTGGTCGATCCAGAGATGAAACCACACTCTCTTCACCTGGCAGAGCAACTGCACTTGTTGGTAGGACAGGAGGCTGTAGACAATCTCCCGCAACATATTGATCATCTCTTCCCGAATCATGTAGAAGGGCAGCCCGCTCTGTACCATCACCATGTCCCGAATCGTGTAGACGAGCGACAGGAGGGACATGTGCAACAGGATGATGTGGATGTAAGGGAGAAGGATCACCTTGGGCATCTTCAACCTGTTCACGGTCGAGTGGTAGTCGTGGATCTTGAACAGGTTGGTGTGCAACAGGAGGGCGAGTAGAGGGCCGAGCAACGTGCCGAAGGTAGGGCGCTGAGGAGGGCCTGGCTCGTCCACTTCGTGCAGGCCCAGGGGTTTCAGTATCAACATGTCTCCCAACCATAGCAGACCTCGGCCAAGTAGGGGAGATAGAAGGCAGGTGTCCGCTTGGCAAATCTCCCCCACTGTTAGCAGCAGCTGAAAGTGAGGACTCTAGCTCTCGAAGTTCACGTTCACGACGATGGAGCCTGGCCATAACCACCTGCCGAAGTTGTTGAACCATATGATCGTCAGCTTCCAGCCCAACAACACGTCGCCATATTCCTTCATCCACACGTCTGGCATCATCCCAGTGTATAGCACCATCGCCAGGTGGGCATGTGCGCAAGGCCTGTTGCAGAGCACGTTGAAGCCAGAACTGCACTTGCGCGATAACATCCGCCCTAGCCAAGATTCGGCGGACAACTTCTCGAGCAGTGCCAGCCGAAAGCGAGTGCATCGCCCCCCGGACTGCATGTTCCACTTGAAACGCTCGGTCCCCAAACGCCTGCTCCTCATGGACAAGGTCTTCCATCCTTTGTGAACTGGAATCCAAAGCCTCCAGTCCTATGGGCCCAAGGAGTCCAGGTAGTCCCGCAGACGGCCCAGCTGCTTGATCGCCAGAGTGGAGAGGAGTCTCCCCGTCTGCAGTAGGCACATTTTCTCCCTCCGAAAGCACATCATCAACGTCAAGTTCACGACGAACCTCTTCCTCTGCATCGTCCTCCTCAAGGTCAACGAACCTACCAGTGTCCATGAGGCTGGTGACGTCATTCTCCCCATTCTGCTCCAGGTGACGACTAGGACTGCGGGATCTGTCCACTCCACGTCTCCCGGTTGAAGACGACGGTTCTGACAACGGCTCCACGGTAGGCGGCGTAGTCAAGTCCCTAAGCTCACCAGGATGGGCATCAAGTGCAGCTTGCCTGTAAATTTCCGCCATGGTGTGCGTGATCTCATCCGTCCAACCAAGCAGTTCAGCGCGCAGACTAGGGTCCACGGGCTCTCGCCTCAATGGAAAGTGGCAGGGCGTTTGGGCACGGGCACGAATCGGGACCTCCGCATCATCTTGCACTTCAGCGCCCGCCTGCGACACCAGCAACCAGCGGCCCAAGGCCCAACGGGCCTCAGGACCTTGCTCCATGTTCACGAAGTATTCATATCTGCGCATGATTCTCTCAAACCGACGTATAAGCTCCTCCGGGATCCTGCGTGCTGCCAGTTCTGAAAGCTCACCTCCCGACAGTCCCGGTCTCTCCATCAAAGACATCGCGTCCTCTTCCTGTGCCGAGGCATGCACGTAATCACGAATAGAAGGGAGCCTGGCAACTCGCCCCAGCACCACCCCAACTTCACGAACGTCATCCCAGAGGGCACCAGAGACATGACGACGGCCTTGCAAGGTCATCCCACTTTGTGCCAAGTTCACATCATCGACATCTTTGTCCAGAGGAAAAGCATCGTCGCCCTTGCGGTCACCAGGCGGCGGAGGAGGCGAGGGCTGATATTGATCAGGAGCTGGCGCGTTGGTGGAGTCTCCCTGCTGTTGACGTCGAACATCGCGTTCAACCTGGTATTGACGCAGCCACGCTGGGACCCATTCACCCCTTGCCCAAGCTTGTACCCTCGCTGCCCGCTTGTCTTGTCTTGTTTTGCCCTGTCCACCTGCCATCCATTTCGCTTCGGCTTCTGTACGAGGACGTGCATGCCAAATTCCATGACGATAAAATCCACCTCCTTCTGCTCCTTCTGCTGATGTCGCCGAGGTAGTATGGCCAGGTGACGACTGAGTAGCAGGTGAGTGGGGCACATTGCTTCTCTTGGAGCCGTCCGGGCGATGCCATCGTTTTCCTTGAGCCGCCGAGGAGTCATAGTTTGGCATCTCCATTTCCCCAGGGGCCCGCTGCGCCGCGCTCAAAAGTGCTCGTTGTTCTCCATGTACACGACGAAACTCCGCCGCCGCATTCTGAATGAGGTCATGTATTGACAACCAAGGCAGACTCCCCCCATTGGCGTACCAGGCAAGGAGATCGTTGATGGAGATCCAGCGGCCCTCCACCTCCAGTCCAGCAATGTCACCCATAATCCCAGTAACGGCCTGCGTCTCGCTCTCGTCCACACTGGCGTCATCATCAGGTTGTTTTGTGTCCACGCCTCCAGATCTAGCATCCACATTGAGTGCAGGCCCACCAGTTGGCACAGACGAGTGGGAAGACGCCGGAACATTTCTCCCACCACCAGAGCCTGTAGACGATGAAGAAGACGCTGGCATAGCCGAGGAAGAAGACGCTGGAAAATCGCCCCCACCACCACTTGACGAGGTCAAAGGTACATCTCTCCCCACGTTCCAGGTTGAAGAAGAGGAAGAAGGATCATGTCTCCCCACTCTTGTCATTGGAGCATAGTACGACCTTATCTCATCATCTGCTTGTTCACGTCGACGGCGTGCTTTACGTAGGTCTCGTCCATCACGTAGTGCTGCAGCAAGATTGGTGGCATCCCCTGTAGGTGCAACTGGCAAGCCAAAGTTCTCCAGCGCCATTCCCAGCAATGGTAGTGAGGTGCTGCTCCGGTCATCTTCAGGAAGGTCAGGTGACCAGATAAGTCGCCCCTCACCCCGTCGTTCCTGTTCTTGTAGGTTCCGAGCATCCCTTGGGTGCAAAGCCGACAGAGGAATACTCCCAGGGTTCTCCCCGGCAGCCTGGGTACATGAGCTGCTAGCAGACTGTTCAGCAGGTAGACGAGGTCGAAGGGTTTGTTGAGGATCATATGGGTCAGCGGCCACATCACAAACGTCAACTGGAGGGGTTTGCTCAACGCTTTGTGGGTGTAGTTCAGGTAGTGGCAGAGCGCCTGGGTCACCGACAGGATCTTGCAGTCCAGGTAGAGCAGCCGCATGAGGTTCTCCATGTAGAGGTAGAACATCAGGGTCAACGATAGAGGCAGCATCATGATGTTGTACAGGTAGAGGTAGAACACCAGGGCCATCAGCAGGTTGCGGTAGAGGGGGAACTTCACCATGGTCACCGGCAGGGTCTTGTCGTAGTCGGAGTGCAGGCACAGGCTCCATGGTCTTCGGCAGGATCATGCAGTCCAGGTAGAACGGCAGCATCAGGTTGTACAGGTAGAGGTAGAACACCACGGTCAACTGCAGGGTCTGGTAGAAGGGAAGGTACACCACGGTCACCAGCAGGATCTTGTTGTGCAGGTAGAGGATGGTGTAGCTGGCCTGCTGGAGGTGCTTGAGTCTGTGCTGGTTCTCCTGGTTGTGCGCCCGGAGACAGAAGAACACGATCACCCGTGCTGCCCCCAAGTAGGGTGGGCTCAGGTTCACTAGCACGATCATCCATTCTCCCCATGGCTTCTTCACCTGCTCCCGAACCCGGTACTTCATCTTGAGGAGGGTGTAGTTGTTCATCATGACCTTGCGGCGGATCATGTACAGGAAGCGGAAGAGGGGGTACACGTACGGCTGGGCCTTGGTCTTGCGCAGGATCGTGTAGGGGTAGTTGAGGCTCCATGGGCGCACCATCATCACTTGGCCAGGTTCTTTCCGAGGAGGAGGAACCTCCGACCACCAGGAGGTAACCATCAAAGAGGGCCACAAAGAGCAACCAACGCAGGCCACCAAATCCACCCATGATGTGGTAGAGGGAGGCGAGGAGGTCACAAAGAAAATCACCAAGATGGCTTGAACAAAAGGGCTGCGAACACAGTCCAAATCAGAATTCATCGGCCACAAATCATTGCAAGAGGGAAGCTGCACGCACTGGCAAAAACTGAAGTTCATCTGCTTGATTTCAGACGATCTCCCCAATGCAAAAGACGACGTTGCATGGACACCTTCTGCAAAGATCAAAGCATCTCTCCAACGCAACGGCACGTAGGGACACACATCATGACTCAGTCACGGGAAGACTTCATAGACAATGCGTTACCAAACCGTCACCATCGGAGAGAGGCTTGTCTGCCTCTGGTCCATCGAACATCAAACATGGCGAGCCACTCCGCACATCTTCCTTTCCACAGCAAGCGATCACGAGTAAGAACTTCCCAGTCAAGTCCAAAGCACGCAGCTAATTTCCGCCCCGTGCTATCAGCATAGAAGCACCCCAGGTGCCTCACACCAACGTTACGAGACAATCGCTGTTGACCGACCCACCACTGTTGCGAGCGCCAACGGTGCATCTTGAGCGGATTTCCCGGAATCATCTCCCCGGCATCATCGAGGCCTTCTCGTTGACGACCCCAGTGTCCATAGAGATTGTATTGGAGCTCAAGGATGATTGTTGACCATCTACGAAGCCCTTGAGCATGAATCCAAGCCCTCACTTGTCTACACGTTCTTTGATTCCACCCAACCCAGTTTTCACCCGGTCGTCTGCGAAGTCCAAAGGCTTTCCGCAAGGCCTCACATTGTATCTTGTTCGCCATCGCGAGCTCGAGTGATGTCCAATGAACGGCTCCAGCACTCCAGGCAATCGTGCCAAAGACCAGCGTCTGCAAGAGCTTGGCTTTGTCACCCCAGCTTGCATTTCTCCCCGAGAAGGTCACAGTGATAAGCGGCTGCAGCACGAGCTCTCGCGAGAAGATCTTTGGCCTGGTTTCCAGGGGAATCATGAAAAGAGAAATTCACCCCAACGACGCGGATCGTGTCCTCAGGGGGAAGCACATTGACTCTCTGGTTTCCAACCCAGATGGATCTGTTGCCAGCATAGTGGGGGGACGCAATAATTTGGGTCTTCTCTTCGGCAAGTTCCAGGCCCAGTTCACCCAACACCTGGGCTACTAGCTCGATGCGCTGTTTGAGCGAGTCGATGTTCTCGTCCCAGATGAAGACGTCATCCTGATAGAAGAGCAAACAAAGTGGTACATCTCCCCAAGGCGTGGGAATCCTAGCCCACTGCGGCGAGTCTAGCAGACTGTCAATTTGACAACCCATGAGGAGACCAAACAACTCAGCCGATTCTGGGGCCCCTTGCTTGATGCCCTGCGTGCATTCCACCTGGATTCTAGCTCCCCCGGGCACGGAGCCATCCAGGAAGTTCGTCCCAAGCTGCCGGACGAGCCATCTGACTTCAGCGTTAAGCACAAAGTTCCTGGTTCGATCGATGAGGAGGCGGGCTGCAGCATCTCGCCGAACTCGATCAAATGCACCTTTAACGTCCAGTTTAGCACAGACAGTGGGGAGCTTCCATTCACGCGTGGTGTCGCGCAAGCGTGTGATACTACCGATGAGATCAGCAGATTGCCTCGTGCGACCACAGCAAGAAGCGCAGCTGGGGCGTCGAAGACAAGGAAAAACACGCCCCATGACCAGTTTGTTGATGCACTTCTGAGCAGTGGAACTCATGCTGATCGGACGTAAGTCCTTGGGTCGCATGGGAACATCAACCTTGGCCAACAGGGCCAGGAGACTGGTGTCCCAGTCAGTTGGGCAAAGCGTCGCCTTCACCGTGTCGTTGATCAAGTCGACCAGCTGATTGCCAAGTTGATCATGTTGATGAACATGGCGGAGGAGGTCAACCCCAATTCCATCTTCACTGACAGACGAGTTGGCACGCATCTCAGAAAGTGCCGCCCCGATGTCTTCCCAGCTGAAGGGTTGCCAGCCACCATCATCTGGCAGTTCACCAAGAAAGCCACGTAGTCGTTCATCCCATTCTGCCGGCGGGGGTCCCTTCAACTTCTCCTCAAGGTGTTTTTGCACGTCCTCAGTGATTTCCTTTGACGTCTTCTGCTCAAGAAGTCTCCCCCACCAGCCAGGTGTTCGATTCTTGTCCCGTTTATGATCACGGTAGGCGAACCAATCACCCCGTAGAATGCGTTCACGACGAGAGGCACACCACTGCCGTCTGGCCTGGCGCCTCAACTTGTGTGCTCGCTTCCAGTCCTCAGGCTGCATGGTGTCCTTGGCAGTCCTAAAGGCCTCGACAGTGGGCTGATCATCCTTGTACTTGTCTGAGGCGCGAGGCTTCGTATGTGACTTGGCAAGCTTGCGGACGTCATCCCAATCAACGAGGACTTCATCATGAGGAAGTTCCCGACAAAGCCACCGCGGTCTAGAGTCTGGGCTCCACACCTTGTTGGTGCGACAGCAAAGCGAGATGGCATTTTTTAAGGGCATGGTCCGTGCCAATTGCATGTCTTCTCTCAGCATCAATCTGTGTGGGCTCAATGCCAACGTGCCTGACTAACACCAAGTCGATTTGTCGCCCTTGCCTTGTGCTATCTCGCGGAAAGTGTGTAGGTTGTTGCCACTGATCTCTACAAGGAGGAACTGTACGAAGACCATGGTGCAAAAGGCTGTCAGTCATGGCCTGGAAGTTAGCGTTCCCAACACAAACATCAGCCCCCATGCTGGCCTCCCCATCCTCCCTCCACTGGATTTCCTCATTGACATCAATGCCAAGAATACATGGGAGATGCCTCCATTTGTCACCAAACATCTTGCCCGCTTCTTCAAGAGCAGCACTGTAAATGTCATTGCTGACCCCTGTCGGAGCATGAATCGAAGCAAGAACAATTCGACCAAAGTTGCGAAGTCGGACAACAACGGCGCATCCTCTTTTGCTCGATCGGCATTCCACCACGGAGTCAAAGATGTCACTCGCAATGCCAATTGCCGTCCCTCTCCATTGATCAGGGTGTTGAAAGGAGATCCAAACACAGCGCTCATCATCACCATGAGTTTGCCAACCCGGGGTTCTTCTCGCCACTTCTTGCACAAAGAAAAGGTCTCCCTCAGGACAAGCGTTATTCACTTTCTCCAAAGGTTGTCCTCCCAAATTCCAGCTTGCCGAGACCAGACGAACGTGTTTTGCACTCATTCGACCCGACCTCGCTTTGGTGCTCACAATCCCTTCAGGATCACAACCAGTGAAACTCTCCCGGGGTTCTCACAGATTCAGCTCACGCTCCAAAGTCGACACGACCTCGGAGGTGCTCGCCCCGGTTGCTTGGCACAGCGCTGCAATGTCAACCCAACCACCCGGCATCGCTTTGATTTCATCTCCCCTTGGCTGACGATGACTGGAGCTCCCAAGTTTCCATTGTGCCTTCCATGTAGTCCCCGCTGCCCAGTCAACATCGTAGCTCTCAGGCAGGATCGCATCCGGACATTTTGGGGTGCCTTCTTCTGTCTTAGCATCACTTGCAAGGTCGATGGCAATGCGCGGAAGCATAGAGGCATGTGCAGTCCTCTGTCTCGACCCCTTGGACTTGAGGAAGGAAATCCAAGCAGGCTTCTGCTGTGGTGACGACGCGCTCAACCATTTGTGCTTCAGGGCATTGACATACTTGATGACTCCCCACAGTCTCTCCTTAACATGAGAAAAGTCCTCCCCTTCTCTCTCCTTGAACTTGATGACCGCGAAGCTTTTCCTCGGTCCAAACACGATCACCTTGTCACTGTCCAAGAATGGCTTGAGTTCTGCAGAAGCCAACAAAGACGCCGCCTCCGACTCAATGACCTCCCTTTTTGTGTCTTGTAGCCATCCGCCAATGATAAGCGTGCGCCGATCCTCTTCAGACAAGCCTGACTGATCATTGTCTCCGCCTCGTCCCGGAAAATTCCTCCCTCGAACTTCCCCTCCAACTTGGCCTCCTTGCTGGTCTTGGCGAGGTTGTGCACTCTCTCCCCTTCTCCGTTGGTGAAGGTAGTATGCCCAGGCGTCAGGAGCCTCGTCCGGACGCTGTCCAGGCAGGAGGAGAGGTTGCTGCTGCTGCCCCGCCCTTGTCGGCTGTACTTTTATCTCTGCCATCTGCTTCTTGAGCCCCTCCACTTCTGTCTCAAGGTCTCCAATCTGGTTCTTCTGCCTAGCCAGCTCTTGTTGTTGCACGACGTTGTCTTTTTCATTGACCAAGACTCTCCCACTAAGCAACGCAACTTGTTCTTTAGTCGCCCCTCCTTCATGTTCTACGCGATCAAGACGTCCACGAACATCGCCCCAAGCAGTGTGGAGCTCCTGTTTCACAGACAGGAGGTGCTGTGCGAACAGGTCACGCAACTCCTTGCCACTAAGCGGAGCCTCATCATCATCATGTCGTTCATGGGCTCTTTTGGTGGGACTCTCAATGTCAGGCTCTTCTTTCACCTCTCCCCTTCCATCGCCGCGTCGAAGTCGGTCACGTTCTCTTTTCCTTGTTCGCGTAACTTCCGCCGCCATTTCTCCCGCTTGCAGACCGTCCTCTTGCATTGGTACCGGGGAAAGGGGTTCGGTTTTGCCAACTCCACCCCCATCATCGTCCTCGTTGACTGCCTCCATATCAGAGACAACCTCCGTAGGGCTTCCAATCTCCACGACATTGTTCATGGTCTCAAGGAAGAGGATGTCAAGTTCCCGAAGGTGACGAAGAGAAAGATGAGGTAAAAGACAACCACCAGTGGCCGAGAAGGATCACCCCAATCGATGACGAAGGCGAGGAAGATGTAGAAGAAGAAGAAGACGCAGAAGACGGTCAAGAAGGTCTCAAAGAGGCAGAGCACGAAGAAGCCGTAGGTCTCACCCCGGCAAAAAGGGCACGGAAAGAAGAAGAAGAAGAAGATGAAGAGGATCAACTCTCCCACGCCAAGTGCACCACGGAGGCGAGGCCACCAAACTCTCCTCAGTCAATGCACACGTAGACGAGGAGGAAGACCAAGTTCCCCAAGCCAAGTGCACAGCGGAGGTGACGCCACCAACGACGAAGATGAAGCCAGCACCCTTCGTGGACAGCAACCAGCGCAACACACGCACAAAGGATCCTCTCCCACAGAGGATGGAAACCAAGATGTAGAAGACAGGGTGGAGCCGAAGGAGACGAAGTCGCAGCAGCGCCCCAGGCCGAAATGAAGTCGCAGCAGGATCCTAGGAAAGGAGACAGTCAACCTGAAAGGCAAGTCGCCCCGAGCCGAAATCTTGAGCCGTAGCCGTTTAGGGTTTAGGGTTTTTCTTTTTCTTTAGGGCTCTTTTCTGTCTGCACGGGAGTGGGGTTTAGGGTTTAGAAATTGGGGTTTGGGATTTGGGATTTGGGGTTCAGGGTTTCGCGTGTAGGAAACACGAGTGTTCAATCCTCCGTAAGGAACCTGGGAGAAGGGACACGATACTTCTAGGGGCTGGGTAGAGCAGGTAGGGATGGAATGAGAGAAGTGGCTCTGAGGCGTGTTAGTGCTGATGTATCCAAATCGCAATTGAAAGTTTCGGATTTCGGGTTTGGGGGCAAGGGGTTTGGGGCTTAGCATTTAAGGTTTAGGGTTTAGGGCCTTGGGCTCAGGATTTAGTGTTGCGTGAGCGGGAGGATTTATGTTCTACGTCTTTTGTTTGGCGCTTGCCTCAACCCTAAACCCCAAATGTCCGGGCTTAGGGTCAAAGTTAGGTCTGGAGCATTTTGCAGGTAAACCTTAAGCCAACCACCAAAAAACACAACAATGAAGCCCTCAACCCTTTAACGGAACCATACAAGCTTCAACCTCTCAACAACAGCCTACACCCTTAACCCCAAGCAGTACGTCCTAAACCTTACGTAAACTAACCAAAACCAACATAGGAAACCTAAGACCCAAAGCGAACGCCCCCCCCCTCCGAAAAAACAATAAACTAAACCCCTAAACCTCAAGCCCGAAACCTTAATAGACTCTAAGTCATACACAAACCCACAGAAGACTATATCAAGATATAAAAAAGAACGCCCGACCCTAAACCCTAAACCCCTAAACCCCTAAACCCGAAACCCTAAACTCTATATCCTAGAATCCTAAACCCCAAACCCTAAACTCTATATCCTAAACCCTAAACCCTATATCCTAAACCCTAAACCCGAAAAAACAAA